GATCTAGCATAGACATAGATCGGCTGGGTCATACTGATTCAATAGATCACACTTGCTCTGTAGACATGGTGCAAGTTTGATGCGGGATTTGAGGCTCAAATACAAAAGAGGTAAATCAGTCACGTCACTGAGCAGGGTGACGGCTCTTCCCCCCAGTGCCTCCTCTTGAAAAACCTCATATCAATTTAAAAAGCAGATTGACTTGCGAAAGTATCATGAAGGTGCGGACATCCCTGCCATTAACGGGAAGACACTCACATTATTTTATTTCAGAGAAATGCATACTTTGGGTAAACATGTTTTCTAATTAAAAGCACTTCTGAGGTTTTCTATCAAAAAGAAATCGCTACAGCAGGGACATATTCGGAATCCTCATGTCCTCCATTAAATTTACGCTGCGATTCACAGAGCGCTGTTGGCAACGCTTGATTCTTAGAGTACCTGAAGACGCCCATTACCACATGCTTACCCACAATTCGTTCAAGAAGAAGTTCATTGCCTACGATTCCATATGAAGAAATGGAGAACTGTTCAAAACACTTGTACACAGGATCTTACTATGTTAAAGGATGAAACCATCCAACTAGCAATTTTTTCCTTGCAACGCATCTGAAGCGACGAGAAAACCACTGGAATCACCGGAAAAGGCAACTAATTAATACTGCTGGACCATAAGCTAAGTTGCTCAGTTCGAATAGCACTACAAACTTTTTTTTTACCTCGTGCACCTCTGGTCCATCGTCTCATTCTCCTCTGTGCTTCTAAGTGATTCGTCCCTTAGCGATATTGAGTCCAGTATCCTGTCAATGTCATCACCGCTATCTCTCTGAAAGATTATTAGGTGGTTGCCAGAACATTTCCCTTTTTTTGTTTGGAAAAATCATCCATCTCTTCAGGAGTTTAAAGTAAATAAGTGGCGATCTCAGAAAACACAGTCTCAATACCAAAATTTCTTGAATCATTTTTGAACAACTGAGATAATAACGTTAGCTTACAAAAGCTCTAGGAAGTTGTGGGTGTCGTAAACGGAAAAAGAGCCAAACTTTTATATCTGGTAGCTCTTACGTTACAAGGACTGTAAAGATTCAAAAATAATAAAAAATTTAGAAAAAGAAACTCTAAACCTGCACAAATTGTTGGTCCACTTCTCGACCAGCCATCATTGCAAGCTGACGCGTAGCATCCAAATGTGTTCTAACCTGTTCGGCTTTTTCCGCATAGGCTAACTCAGCTGCCATGCTGAATATGCCAAAAAATCGCAAACTGACTTCGGTGATAATGTTGAATGTAGCCCCTATATGAAGCCCATTGCACAGTTTTTGATGCAGATCCCTTTATTAGAGACTACAAGATAAAGTGCTCATGGACCTTTTATCTAACAGTCAAATCTACCTGCACTAAGTAAAATTGCAGTTGATAACTTTCCAACGGTATAATTTACATCGCAAATAAATGGTATCGAGACTAGCCTTGACCAGAATGCAAAAAAAAGACTT